GTGTGTGTGTGTGTGTGTGTGTGTGTGTTTGTGTGTGTGTGTGTGTGTGTGTGTGTGTGTGTGTGTACTCACCTCACTAAAATTCAGGCGTTGTAATTGAAGGAGTGACATGTGACTCCCCTTTTTTGCTCTTGCAGGTACGGATGCCAGTATTCCTGTCCACATAAACAACATATGTCAAAGAAACTATGTGACAGTCGAGAATGGACGCAAGTTGAAGCCGACCAGCCTGGGAATTGTCCTCGTACATGGCTATTACAAGATAGGTATCTGGCCTCAGTTTATTGAGAGCCTTTTCTTGATTGGTTGTCTCATTGCACGGGCTCTGCGTTGAATTTTTAATGAATGAATGTTGTAGTTTATTTTGAAGACCAAATACAAAAGTAGGTGAAAAATTACAGCTGCTCGCAGCTGTCAAGGGCCCTTGGAGTCCTAGCAACATTGGAGTACTGGCACATTAGGACATTGGCACACTGGAATTGGAATGTTTTGAAAATGTACGTCAAAAAGTACATCAGATTAAAAGCCACTTCGCGAAGAAATTACCTTTTATAAAAGGCCAGAATTGAGTCAAAATTTGGAAGGCAATTAAAAATCTCGGACTTCCGGTTGAGTTTAGAGTAGGGCTCAAGAGTTTTTTGTGTGTCTAGAGCTGGTCCATATGCCTCCAACTTTAGGTAGATTATGGTGAAATAATCAACCAGGGCTGTTTCGTTAAAAATTTGTAGCGGGCACAACTACAGGTAAGCCCTTTTTATTTCTTTTAAACGCTTAATAAACTCATAAAACAATTTCTTTTTCTAAGATTGATGGGTGTGCCAAGTTTCGTATGTTTTCACGAATGTTAAGACCACCAAATCGGCATCATTTTTCTGAGCACACATCATATCACTACAGCAGCAGAAATAAAAGGATTTGCTTTTATTTTATTTCTTGAACGTCTTTACACAAAGAACCCACAGTTTCAAGACCAACCGATGAAATCACTAGGAGTGCTTTAAAATGTGAAAAATGTATTAAAGGCCAAAAAAGGGGCAAAATTTGGTGGCGCTACAGAGCCATTTTGTTTTTACTTTAAAATATCAAATTTTTCACCACCGACAATGAATGTGGAGAAGTTTGGTGAGTTTTCATGCATGTTTAGGGTCTCAAAAATGTGATCCATTGCAGAGAAAACAAATTCTACAATTAAAAAAAAAACTGTAGAAACTTGGCAGCAGTCATTGTTTGGGCTCTAGCAAATACTAAAATTACCCAAGTAGCAGTCAAAAAGGAGGAGAAAGAAGTAACTTGTTCATTCCTACTTCCATTTAACATTTTTTCAAATAAGCAATTTGTTGCATTACAATTTTTAGCGGCACTGTATTTTTGCTGTTGTTTGTTTTGTTTTTTTAAGTCTTTCTCGCAGATTAAGAGTATAGTCAAATTGTCACTCATCATTACAGACCATTCAAACTGCACAGAGGCTCATATCCATCATGATAAACTTGAAACATTGCATCTACAGTATGTCGTTCATTGAATAGTTCAAAACAGCAACTGTGACGGGCGTCATTCATTTGCATCTCTTTCATAGATGCGGAGCTGGTACTACCAACCATTCGCAGTGCTGTTGAAAAGCAACTCAATCTAATCGCACTTGGTAAAGCCCACTTCCAGCAAGTACTCCAGCATGCATTGGATATCTTCAAGAGGAAGTTTCACTATTTTGTGGATTCCATATGTGGTAAGTTTGCCACAATGAACACCTTGGATTAGGCACACACAAGACACGGGCTTGTTCAAGTTCTTTTCTGCAGAAGTGAATAATATTGTGGCAATTTCAAATGGCCGGCGCAAACATGATGCTGTCACTCACATTTGTAGAAACCAAGTTAAGTAAACCGATGCGGTTGTTCAATTCGGAATTTAACCAGTACTGATTTGACATAACAAAACTTTTCACAGTAGAAAATTGCTCTCAGATTCCAGACTTCAGGCAGTTGATGAGTGCAAAGAATTTTCATTCAAGTGTTAAAAATGATGGTGCTTCCATACATGTGGTCTAATCTGAACAAAATATATAGCAAGTGTAAAATCAGTATCCATTCATGTACTCATTCTTGGTAGAGTGCTTTTGTTTAACTCTTAATTTAATACTCAAAATCCAAATTTAAAATGAACCCTGGCTGTTATGTTTGCTCTCTATATGATTTGTTTGGTTGTAACATAACTATATGATCACATTTTGTAAAATCATTTCCAGTATTTCCAGATAGGCAACCATCCGTGCTCACATTTGAAGTAAGTGTGTGTGTGGGGGGGGGTGCGCACGCGGTCGACGAGTTAGCACATCTGCCTCACTGTGCAGAGGTGCAGGGTTCAATTCCAGCTCCAGCATTCCTGTGTGACGTTCGCATGTTCTCCCTGTGGCTGCGTGAATTTTCTCCATGTACTCCGGTTTCCTCCCACATGCCAAAAACAACGTGCATGGCATATTAATGGAATGCTCTCAATTGTCCCGAGGTGTGAGCGCGAATGGTCGTTTGTCTATCTGTGCTCTCTGATTGGCTGGCAACCAGTTCAGGGTGTCCCCCGCCTACTGCCCAAAGACAGCTGAGATAGGCTCCAGCACGCCCGCGACCCTTGTGAGGATAAGCAGATCAGAAAATGGATGGATAGTTATGTTATCAACAATCAAATAGATCATACAGAGCAAAGATGTCTTTCCCATCAGGGATACTTTTTAGTCACGTCTTGATTTAATTTAAAATCCATTGTAGTTGCACATGGAAGCAAAAAAAAAGAAATATTGTCCAACTTTTTGGGAACCAACCATGACTGACTTTGCATAAAAAAAATGATCCACATTGTATTGTTTTCTCATTGACATTTAATCAATAGTATGATAAATTTTTGCTCATGGGATGAGAACTTTTACTGTATCTGTCATCTATCTATCGAGTAACAAATGTCATAAAGTGAAATGCTTAAAGCCATTGGTGACAATTCATCTTCGCGTTATGGCTTTGTTATTAAATTTGAGACTTGCTGTGTTAAAGTGTTTCCCCAAGACTGCATCCAAAAGGTTTATAATTGTCTATGGATGCCACAATGTGGCAAAGCACTACTTTTGGCTCAGTGAAACTCCTCACGGCACCTCAATATTGTTTCTTGACTCCAAGATGCCACAAGCGCCAAAATACAATAAATCGTTTTTGTCATCTTGTCTTGTGCTATGGCCGGGTCACAAAAACAGCACAGAAACAACCAGGAGGTGATTTTAATGGAGGATCGTTTTAAAGGAAAGTCAGTGATTGGGAAATTCACGCATACCGAATCATGACTATGTCTTGGTTCACTGTATTATTTAATGTAACAGTGGTTAACTTAATTTGTACACTTTTACCATAGATATTAATATTAATATGCCGATGAAGATAATTTATTTTGTATCCATTGGAGTTCGAAACGTGTTTTTTTTTTTAATTGATATTCTTTATGGGTGGAAAACGTAACAAATGTGAACAAGACCAACACAGAGAGGAGAATACAAGAATTCATGTTTTTTTTAACCCCTTAAGTACAAGTTTTGTATAATAATCTATGTTTATACTTGAAGAAAAATACACAAAAAGCCAACTATTTGCCATATAATAAATTGTAAGGTGATGGGATATTGGTGGTATTTAAAGGTTTGGCCATGCCAAAGATTAGCAACAAAATTGTTTGGACTAAATTACCGTAATGTTATTTCGATGTGGTTCCAAATACTCCCTCTGGACACCTTCATAGCCAAAAATGCTACATTGACTGCCATGAAACCACAGTTTCTGTTACTATATAAAACCGTGCATTTCATCAAAAAAAAAAAAGCAGTGATATTGGAATTTTTTTGTGCTTTTCATCAGATTCCAGCATTTTGTCACTGTATACAGGCTCATGAAGGCGACTGACGCAGAATAATTTTACAGCAATTTGTTTGTGTGTGCACATTTGCACTGATGTACCAAGGCAAACTCCTATATCTGATTCAATAAAGTCCTCTTGATTTGCAGGCATGGATGAATTGATGGAAGTCTCCTTTTCACCAATTGCTGACGCAGGCAAGCCAATCTCTCGCTGTGGCAAGTGCCGTCGATTCATGAAATTCATCCAGGTAAGCAAAATACAGTGATCCCTCCCTATATCGCACTTCATTTATTGTGGCTTCACTACATTGCGTTTTTTTTCCAAAGTACTAAATTCAGAAAAAACTGCAGAATGACTCAGAGGTTTTGTACATGACTGTACCAGTGATTGGTTCCCGGTGCGACGTCGACCAATGGCAGCACGAGTGTCGACCAATGACAGCAGGAGTGGATTTATCCCGTGAGCTGATTGGCTGCGCATCTTTGCAGCCCCGTCCAGCACATTCTCTCTGATCAGTGTCTCGTCACGCTGTTGTTTGCTACATGTGCGTCGGGGAGAGAGAGGCTGAGCGCAAGCACTCACGCACGCACGAGCGAGAGAGGGTGATTGGGTTTGTCCGAAAAAAGCAGCACATCTATCTCTCTTCCCCTCCTCCTCATCAATGCGGATTAATTGTCTTATCATAAACACATAGGCTGTGCGGGGATAACTGGCCAGGAGCTAGCTGGACGCTAACGGCGGCTCCACCGTCAGAGCGCACCTTTGACGCCACTAACACAAGCCTCTTTGCTGTTGAATGTTAATTACTCAGGGATGAGATTTTTCCTTGTTTTGGCGGAATTCCGCTTTTTTTCCAGTCAAAATGGACCTATTTCATATTGTTCCAAATCCGTAAAAAAATTCCGGGGGGGGGGTCCGGACTTGTCTTCGGCAGATTCGGGGCTCGTAATGTTTACAAGTAACATTTGCAAGCATCCATTTTGAATCCCGTTTTTTATCGTGAAGCGTTAGTTTGTCGTTACTTCCTATACGGGCTAAAACCAATGTCTTGTTGTGATTGGTCGCTATATCGGCAAATGCAAATCACAACCAATCCGTGTTCGCCTTCCGAAACCCCTTTCTCGCAAATGCCGAATGTTATCGAGACTCACGACGAAGCTATAGTGCGTCAGATAGATGCGGATCTGAAAAACACGTTTCGATGGGACTGGTTGGATAGAAAGCTGACGGTGTCCCTAGTAGGAAACAGTAAAGAGGAACCATTGTGCTTGTGTCGGATTTCGTGAAAAAGCTCGATGTCGCCGGTAAAGCTCTGTGTACAGTGTGTGACGATGTCATTCTATACGGATCGAGAGGATGGAAAGCTTTACAGAGTTACGCAACCTCGTTGAAACACCGAAAACAGACATTTCTACTGAAAAGTAACTACTCGATCTCAAGCGCTTTTCGACAGCCTGGAGCATGTGTAAAAACAAGAGGAGTTGGCTAAAAAGAGAGTGGAAAAAGACGGAGAGGACCAATAAGCTTTTAGCGCTTGCTAAAAAGCTTAAAATGAAGAGAAAATAAAGTATTCTACCTCATGAAACTGTATATTGTTGTATATACTGTAAATAGACTTTATATAATAAAATACATTCATAACCCATATATCGTAAACTGTGTGGGACACTATCACTGTATGAGGTAAGAATCAACAGCGTTTTATCACATTTACACAACACTTTATGAATACAAGTAATGAACAAATCTTAAATATAGCAGGGAATGTTTCCTTTTTTAGTTTTGATTTTGAGCAGCAAATTTGAAGTTACATATTGGTGCTCACCAGGAATGCATAAGCAAAATTGCACCAATTCTCACTGGAAAGAATAGTGAAAAATCTTGGAATTTTTTTCTGTTAAAGTTTCAAATCGTGTGTAAATTGAATACACTTCATCTTCAGCATGTTAAGTGCCACTTTTGTAAGTGGCCCCGCCCCCGTCCAGGACACGCCCCAGTCCCGGCCACGCCCCCTTCCGCTTTTTTCATCACTAGCCACTCTCATCCCTGATTACTGTATAAGGTTTTATATTTAAAAATTGAAGTAAATACGGAACTGTTGTATTCTTTGTCTAAAATGTGTAAAATATAAATACTGTTTACATATTTAAAAAATGCTGGTACCCGCATACAGTTACAACACAATTCATCGGCGGGGTGGGGGGGCAACCCTCCTTCGCGGTTTTTCACTTATTGCGGCAGGGTCCCAGTCCCCATCAACCGTGATAAGTGAGAGAACACTGGATATGTGTTATATAGATGGATAGATACTGTACACGCAGATGGATACGATACTGCAAGGGTGCCCATTACGTCAATGGCGATCGACCGGTAGCTCGTGAACTGGAAAATACAGTATATGTACAGTATATAGGTATTAAAAAAAAAAAAACACAGATCAATCTCTATTTTTGGGGAGATAGAACCATTGTAACAGGCTTCCATTCTTTTCCAGACATTTATTCAATCAAATTCCATACTTCTCTGTACTTTCCATACTTGCATACAAACCATGTGAAATCAAATGTGGGACCTCTGACAGTAATTTGAACTGAGAGCTATTTCAAAACATAAATTCATGGTCATTTATTTATTTCAAACACAACTGGACATTTGACTGAGTTTGTGTCCCTGACCTGGTTGGAGATTGATTCTGTGCCACTTGCATTTGAATTTAAAGTACCTTTAGTCCTTATTGACTGACTAGGACATGTCCGGTCTGAATAGTCATTTGTAGTCATTGTCAAGTAGCTTAAAAGCTTAGTGAAAGACATGGGGAAAAAAAACTGGAAGTGACTCACAATCATTTACTGTATTTACATATTTTCGGCACATTGCACAAGCAAATGAAACAAATATTTCTGATACCAAATTGTTGATTTGAAGGTGCTTTTTAGTGCGAGTTTGACTACTTGCCTTGATTGTGAGAAACAGTTTGTATATTAGTCATGTTTGCATGCCAAGAGAATGCTGTCTGTTATTTGTAGGCACCAGGTAAAGTGAGAAGCACACTAATGTTTTTAATTCCACAGAAATGTAATTCAGTGTCCAGTGTTATTTCTTGAAGTAACAATTTCAGTGACCAGGTTAAATACTTAATTTACACATTATTCCAGAGTAATTTGTAGTTCTTTTAATCATCTTCTGATCATATTGTGAAGAACCCCCCCCCACATATATATCTGCGTTTATTTCTAAATTGTATAGGTTAACCATGATAAGACTGAACTCTAAAAAGGTCATAATGCTCAATTTTGATTGACACTGTTCAAGAGGTAGTGATTTAAAAATGTTTGTTCAGATTGTACGAATCCCAATTCCTGTTGAAGATGTGTTTAACATAAAAACACGAATCAAGGATTTGCAAATCCTTTTCAACCTATATCCAAGTGAATGCACTACAAAGACGAATTACTTAATGTTCAAATTGATGAATGTTATTTTATGATTTTTTTTTGCAAATAAACTTCATTTTGTTGATTGTTGCAACACATTTCCAAAAAGTTTGGGCTGTGGCAAAGGCTCAGTTACAGAGGTTTATGTTTTCAATTCCAACACTCATCCATGAGTGAGATTGACCGATACCAGTGGTATGGATTAGCCACTTATTTTTCAATTTTAGTGCTGCTCACTAAGGATTATTTTAAGAATCTATTGATCTGTCGCTTGCCCCTACCTTACGCGTGTGCACTCCAACCGCAAATGGTGGATGAATATTCAATGTGAGGGCGAACTCGGACGCTTTCATTGGTCAGCCACAAGCCACAGGCTTCATAGCGTGGGAAAAGTGGCGGTTTATACTTCAGAGAGTATAGCAAATCCCTGGTTGCGATGACATTGCCACAAAAGAGGTCACTAAAGATTGAATGAAAACCGGTTATTTTTTGCTCCAACGGTCATAAGTGAGCTGGTATGATCATGATCATCATGATGCTATAACAACTGAAAAGGTCACAGGTTTGCTAGGAATATCTGTAATTTGTGTAATTTGAATATGTGGTGAATTATTTAGACCAGAGGTGGTCAACTTAAATGATGCAGGGGGCCACATAGGACTCGGCACTTCCTAAACTGACATAAGACAATAAAAATGCCATTTTAAATAAATATATGTGTGTCAACAGAATTGTAGATACCCCTATTTTATTGAGAAAAAAAATCCAGTAATACGAGTGTGTGTGTGTGTGTGTGTGTGTGTGTGTGTGTGTGTGTGTGTGTGTGTGTGTGTGTGTGTGTGTGTGTGTGTAAAAAACGCATGCTTCGTTTTTAGGCACGCCAGTGTCATCTTGATGATGATGACAGAAGTGTCGAGGCGACTAGCGAAAGTCATGACAAAAGTAAAATGTATTATGATTGATTATTGCCCTGACGTGTTTGCAGGCCAAGCCCAGTCGACTGCACTGCTCCCACTGTGATGAGACATATAGTCTACCTCAGAATGGAGCCATCAAGCTATACAAGGAGCTTCGCTGTCCACTGGATGACTTTGAGCTCCTGCTGTGGACCTCTGGTACCCGAGGCAAAAGTTACCCCCTGTGCCCCTACTGCTTTAGCAACCCGCCTTTCAGGGACATGAAAAAAAGTAAGAATACTGTATTGCTTATTCTGTGGAGTGAATGAAATGGATTGTTTTCCTTTTCTACAGTGAAACTCCTCAACAACGAAATCATGTTTGCAGCAAGAAATTTTTCACAACAGGGGGTTTTTCACTGGAACAAATTTGATCTCAGACGTAAACACGCGCGCACACGCACACACACACACACACACACACACACACACACACACACACAAACGTATGTGTACTCTTTATTTTTATTCCAATAGTGCAGAAATATGAGCATACACATATTTGACACTTCATATAGTCAGTGTAGAAAGAAAAAAAGGGAAAGAAATTGCGAAATTTACGATCAGCATTCACTTTCACTTACATCCATTTCTTGGATAATGTCTTTTATTTTGCTTCCTCCGTCTTTAATTTTGATCACTTTTACCCTCTCTTCCAGTGTCAGATCTCTTCTTGTCTTAGCTGCCTGACATCCAAAGGTAGCCATTTTAGCAATGCAACGTTCTTGCTGCGTCTGAAATGAACAATAACAAATACTTCCTGGACTACTGGGTGGTGGTTGCTGTTGCCATTTCCGAACGAAGCAGTCGAGGTCGCTGTTGGATTAGACTTCGTTGTAGTGAATCTCGTCGCGAAGCAAGAGCAGAGAAAAATATTTCTTATAATGCAACAGGGGTTTTTTTTCGTTGTATGGAGGGCAGGAAAGTGGGAATAGTGTTAATGCATGAAGATTTTTCACACTAGGAGGTATTTTCGCCCATGTAGGTTTCGTTGTAGAGGTATACTGTATAAGTAATAGCTGTCCTTCTCCAGGTCGATGGCTCCATACATGAACATACATCAGAGATGAAAGTCCTCCGGATTTTCCCGGAATTCCGGGTTTTTCACATTTTTATGAAAATCTCTCCGGAGAATTGAGGAAAATTTGCCTAAAATTAATCCGGATAATAGTTGACAACATTGAACGAAGACGCGTTTGAGTTCGTTGTTTTGCTTTTACGAGCGTAGCCATGTTGAGACACTAACACTAGTCACAGTAGAGATTTTCGTCTCTTTATCAGCACATTTGCTAAACCCCAGTGGAACGAATAAAAGACACCGTGGACAAGAGAGTTGTCGTAAAAAATATATTTGGACAAAAAGGGAAACACACAGATTGGCAGAAAAACGTGTCCGTCCGACTTCGAGTGTCGTCTCGGCTAGCTTAGCTAAGCTGTTGTTGTGTGTGACGTAGGGTGTGTGACGTCGTTGCGTCGGCGCTTATTGGTTGAAATCCAAAGATGCGCTTGCGTACATGTTCGCGCTGATGCACGCACAATAGAGAGCAGCGGACTAGCTCGAGTGACGTCGCCACAACAGTAATACCCTCGCCTCGCATTCTCATGGCCTCGCCATATCTCTGAGATTTCGAAATTTCGGCGAGAACAGAAGGCACCA